ACTCCGCACCTCTCGCACCTGTGGTCCTTTACACCCGGTGGTTCTGTGAAATGTGTGGCAACACCAAAAACACCTTCCCCGACCCCAAACCAAAACCAGCCCCGTTCGTAGCTTCTTGCTCCTGCCCGCGCCAGGTGGGCCAAGCACTTCATCAGGCCTTAGGCTCCAAGGCCGGTTGCTGTCGCATGGCCTTCGCGGAGGCCGCGTACCAAAGTGCCCAGGCGAAGCACACTGACTTTTGGTCGACCGCCGCGGGTGGGGGGTCGGTTTCTTTTCCGGCCAATTCGTGGCCAGGCGGCAAATAAGGCAGCAGATGGGGGAGATCCTCTGCGATGAATCAGCTCGTTCTTCTTGGTGTCACTTCAAAGTGCTTAGCAAGCTGTGGCCGGAACTCTTGAACACCACTCGGCCAACAGCAGCATCTGTGTGTTCTCGTTGTTTGGCCGTTTCCGCGCCCTAAAATACCGACCTGAGGGTCACCCAGTTCGGAAGGTGAAGAACGCCGGCCTCTCGCGTCACGAGCTACGGCTCTTTCCACCGTCGTTGTCTGGTGAACCATTTCCTCCAGGCGAAAAACCCGAGTGATTTCCCTTCCAACCAGCCAACAATCCCCGCAAAGAGCTTGCCCGATTGAATCTCAAGTGAACTCTTGATGAACCGACCCCCTCCTCTCCGGGCCTTCTTCCGCCACTCGCTCCAGAGCCGCGCTCGCAGGTGCTGTGCGTGATGGATCTCTCGAATCGTCCGATGCTCTGCCTGGTGCTCAGAGCGGCGGTATACGAGCGGTTGGAACCATGTGTCGGTTTAGTGGGGGGTTTCGGCGGGTTTCGGCGGGTTTCGGCGGGTCGTTGGAAGCATTTTTTGGCAGCTCCTGTTGCTTCACAGGGTGTACAATAATCTGCGCAGTGCCATTGGAGGGTCGGTACAGAAAGTCTGGTCGGACCAGATTTTAACAAAGAGCTGCATTCACGGCATTCGTCTGCCCATCCAGAGGCCTTGGTTGAAAAAACTCCTGAGTCGCAATTCGAGGACGAAAACATCATGGTGCAACAGAAGAACATGCTATATATAACCCCTCTGAATCTTGCAGAACACTAGGACGAGTTACACCAACACCATGACCTTTTGTGATCTTACCAGACATTTTCCTTTGGACTCCTTCGCCCCAAACACCTGTTTTCTATATCACGTTCTTGGCTTCGCCAAGGCAGTGACCTGCAGTGGCAGGGGCAGCAGGAAGAGATGGCAGAGGATGTCTCCGTGGAGTTGCTTGGATGTTAAGGTGTGGGGTGGCCAACGATAGGGCTGATGTCTCCGTTTTTTCAGCGAACCGCCCCGAAATGGATTGACTTGATTTAGAGAACCAGATCAAACCGGGTTGGAAGGTAGGACCAAGTGGAGTTCTTCAGGTTTCAAGGTTAAACTGATCAAGCCAAGTCAGTGGAGTTCAGGACTTGGTAAAACCGACTCGAAGAGTTGCTTTGTTCCTTTTTGCTGTAGCATGCAGCGAATTCGAGCCCCAGCTCGAGTTCGTTCAATTCTTTACATCCGTGGCTTCTCGTTGGTGAAGCTTTGGGTGAAAAGAAGGTCAAATACCGCGATGTTCTTGAACCCCACGAACGCATGGGCTGCAGTTTACATCAGTTTACTATGCATGACTTCTAGGGAGTAACATGGAGTAGTCATCAATCCAAAAAAAACAAATGGCGATGTTCAGTGTGGATTGAAGGGTTACAGTCTATTTTTTTCTCGAACTTGTCGACACAGACGACATTTTTCTTTTCAGATGCCTCCATTCTCCAAGAGAGAGCCTCTGCCAGGACGGATTCGGTAACGGGGCATTTTCTTGAACTGTCCCAGATTCTGTCTAGAGTCTAGATGCTACTAGAAACAAGTGCATTGCTACTAGTAACAAGGGCATTACTACTAGTAGCAAGAAGCTACTAGAAACAAGTGCATCGCTACT